ATTTATGAAGACGACTGCCTGAAGAAAACATGCAAATTTCCACAGTCATTGATGATATGGGGCTGCATGTCAGGTAAAGGCACTGGGGAGATGGCTGTCATTACATCTTCAATAAATGCACAAGTTTACGTTGACATTTTGGACACTTTTCTTATCCCATCAATTGAAAGGATGTTTGGGGATGATGAAATCATTTTTCAAGATGATAATGCATCTTGCCATAGAGCAAAAACTGTGAAAACATTCCTTGAAGAAAGACACATAAGGTCAATGTCATGGCCTGCAAATAGTCCGGATCTCAATCCAATTGAAAATCTGTGGTGGAAGTTGAAGAAAATGGTCCATGACAAGGCTCCAACCTGCAAAGCTGATCTGGCAACAGCAATCAGAGAAAGTTGGAGCCAGATTGATGAAGAGTACTTTTTGTCACTCATTAAGTCCATGCCTCAGAGACTATAAGCTGTTATCAAAGCCAGAGGTGGTGCAACAAAGTACTAGTGGTGTGTTGAAGTGTTCTTTTGTTTGTTTGTTTTTCATGATTCCATAATTTTTTCCCTCTGCTTGGTCTAAAAAGGTAACTGTTACTGACTACCACAATTTTTTTTCTTGATTTCTTTTAGTGTTTCTTAAAGCCAGAAAGTTGCCATTTGAAAATGACTTTAGTTTTGTGTCATGTCTCTGATCTGCTTTTTTTCTACAAAATTAAACAACTGAATGAACATCCTCCAAGACTGGTGATTCCATAATTTTTGCCAGGGGTTGTAGTTGAACAAAAAAAGATCTTACTCTTTAACAAAAAGGTCCAGCTCTTAAAGGATTCTTTCCATAACGTTGCCACAATCACTGTTAGTGGATGTAAATTGACGGTGCACACTTGCACACCCTAACCCTAACCCTATCAATACTGGACCAGTTTCAAAAATTGTTGTTCCTGTTAGTCATCATGGAGAGAAAAGGGTCCAGGCTGAAAAGTTACCATTTGAAATATGTCATGTAAATGGTCACATTGTCCCATTTAAGTTAATCATCACATTGATTTAATTTGTAATGGTCAAAATCACCCATATAATGACAGACATTTCTAACCAATGAGGAAAAATGTTACTAATTTGTAGTATTTTAGATGAATTAAAAGATTTATGAAAAATGATTCCCCACATTGAATATGTGGTTCAGAAATGTGGCTCAGCTCTGATGTTCTTATTCTAGGAAATGACCAGAGCTTTTTATTGATTGAGCTCTGAGCAGCTCAGGAATGTGGCAGCTACGTTATGTGATGATACTGATGCTTAATCTACATCAAGTGGAAGATTGTGCCATTAGTAATCACTAGATTCTCTTGTTATGTAATATGAGAGGGAGGGAGAGAGGGGATTAAGTTGTGGATTGATGTGTGAGTGTGTTTGCATGTGTGTGTGTGTTGTCTACTCGTGTATATTTCCTTATAGGGCGGCGGCCGTGCTGGCTCAGGTCGAGCCGTCACTGGCTGAACTGCTTGGTGGGCGGGATCTGGTGCTGCCCTTCTCAGGGATCGGTCATTTCAGGAAGGAGGTGGTGTTTGTTGGGCTGGCCCCCGGACAACACAGACACACGCTGGACAGTCTGGCAGGTCGGTGATAAACATTTCACTTTTTATTGTTTTGTGTTGTGCGACTTTCTTCTTCTGTCCTCCTTCAACACTTCTGTGTCCGTCACTGTGTGTGTTGAATCCCATTTTTGTCCATAATGTTTTCTCAGTGCTTCTCGTGCTGTATTGTCTCTAGAGGATACATTTCATTAGAGGATGTTAATGTGATACAGTACTTTCTGTTTTGTGTCCCTATGGAGGCACGTCTGAACTCAGGGTCAGCTGAGGAGCCCTGCATGTAAAGGTAAAGGTAAAGTTCCACTGATTGTCACACACCTGAGTGTGTGAAATTTGTTCTCCGCATTTGACCCATCCCCTGAGGGAGCGGTGAGCAGCAGCGGTGCCGCGCTCGGGAATCATGTGGTGATCTATGTGGAGGATTTGTTGGGATAGGGTGGATGCTGGCTGTGGTGAGGGCTTTGCTATGGGACGGGAGGTCACAGATTAGACAGCTTTAAGAGATTGTAGGGTATATTCAGGAGGTTGTGATGAACTGAGTGGGCTGATTCTCACACTCACATTCAGAGATCATAGGTGGTTTAAGCCTGACTTTTGTCGTGCAGCGTCCTGGGGTGCACGTTTACCAGTAGGATTCTTTGACTTGGCATCAGGCCTACATTTAGTGTGTGAAACTTGTGTTTGGATCAAAAATAAAACACTGTAAGAACATTAGAACTGCAACAATTAGTCTCTGCCAAATATTATGATGAGTAATTCATAATTTCAGTCATTTTTCTAGCAAAAAATGTCAAACATTTGCTGGTTCCAGCTTCTTAAATGGAAGGTTGCTGCTGTCTTTTGTCATTTATGGTGGTTAATGAAGAATCTTTGAGTTTTGTGAGTGTTGGTTGAACAAGAAAAGCAAAGTCGTCAGTTTGGGCTTCGGAAAACTGTGATGAGTGTTTTTCACCATTTTTGAGACCAAATGATCCATCGATTAGTCATCAGCAGATTAATCAACAGTGAAAATAATACTAAAGAGCATATTTTGTCGGTGGAAGTCAGCTGTAGTTTGTAAATACTCAGCAACTTGGACTGATTTAATATTCAGTGCAACCACATCCACGTCTTCATTCTTAAAACGCTGTAAGTGGATTTGGTCAAATAATGTGGTGATTGTGTGTGTGTCTACTGTTTTCACACACGCGTTTGGTGATTTGCATGTGACATGTCTTCATTTATCTTCTCACATTTGTCGTTTGTCATCTGTGTATGTTTGTGGGGGTGTACGCAGGAGGGTTTGCGTGTATGTTTTTGTGCTGTGCTTTTTGGCAACGACGACACTAAGCCAACATTTCTAAGAGGATTCTCGCTCAATTGCAACACCGACACACACACTTACACACACACACACATACATGAAGTAGTAACTGCTGAATAAGATATGTGATGCAGTTATTTCTAAGACTTAACACATGCATTTTTTGCACGCTCACTCAACAGGACATGATTAAGTTTTTCCCCTGTACCAGTTCTTTGTGTCTAGCCCCAAAAGGTTTGCTGGTGTTTTATACACCTATCTTTATCTATATCTATATTTATATCTTTCTCTCTCTCTATATATATATATTAATATGGAGCATTTGAGCTGCATTTTCAGATTCTGCTTTCGTGTGGATTTCCTACCTGATCGTTCGGTGTATTAACTGCTCAGATCAGAGCAAATACTACATTTGGCATATTAGTGATGGCCGCGCTGAGACAAATCCCAAAAGGCATTTCATCATATAATATAAATGGGAAATGCAGTAAATTAATCTTTTAAAGAGATAAAGCTCCAAAGGCCAAGGCTGTACATAATTACCTCAGCTATCAGGTTTTGTTAAATTATAAAAAAGTTATCCACTGGAATTGGAATTGTCGGGAACTTTTTTGAGGAAGTAGTGATGAGCTTTTTATACTGAGCAGAGAAGGCAGAGGATGTGATGGAGGGTGTGTCCTCTTGCTAAGACATAAAACATGCAGCATTAACATGTTTAAGTCTGGGTTGGCTTTGTCAAACGATGTCACTTAGCCGACATGAATAAAGGCAGAACCTCCATAACTGACTGGAATCCAAAACAGTCAACCCTTGATTGATTGAATGCATGCTGCAGCAAATGTGAAGTGTGTTTTCAGAAGGAAACAGTTTCGCTCAGTTGACCCGTAGCTAAGCCTCTCCCTTAAACAGTAACTGCTCAGTCCTTCATAAGCAACTTAAACTAGGCACAGGCCGCTCAAGCTTTCAGAACACGGGAAAATGCTGTAACAGTGTGCATGTGGAACCTGCAAGACCAACAGCAGATATACTTAAAGTTGAGAGGCAGGTGTCCAAAGCCAAAAACGCAAGAGGAGAGATGTCAGTTAAGGATTAAACCGACCATCAGTGGAACTGCTGTAGAACAGGTGAGCAGCACCAAATTTCTGGAGGTGCACATCACAGAGGACTTCTCCTGGAAAAACAACAACACATCACTGGACAAGAAAGTCCAGCAGCGCTTCTACTTCTTCCTGAGGCTGAAGAGGGCCACAGCCCTGACACTCATCATGCACACCTTCTACGGTGGCACCAATGAGGGCAGTCTGACCAGCTGCATCACTCTGTGGTTCGCGTCCACACAAAAATGCAGCTGAGAAGATGACTGGTGCCTCACTACCTTCTGGACATCTATAATACCCGTCTATCTAGGGACCCCGCCCACCCCTCACACACCCTCCTCAGACTCAAGATACCAGAGCTTCCAAGCTGGCTCCAAAGGACTGTATAACAGCTTCATATACCAGGCTGTCAGGAAGCTGAACTCTCCCCCCCGCCACCTCTAAATAACTCTGTTACTTCAACACACCCAAACTCTCTCTCTTTTTTTTTTTTTTTTTTGCTAATCACTCATCCTGTAGATGAAAGATTTATTTGCACTCTTGTACATTACTCACACGTCTGTTAAGCCAGTGGTTCCCAACTGGTGGCGCAGTCCAAAAGTGGGTTGCAGGTCCATGTTGTGAATCTGTCAAGTTTGTAAAAAACACACTTCATTTTGTCTGGGAGGAAAGGCATTTAAATCCTGTCTATGTCTTGTACATATGGCAGAATTTTATTTATTTTTTTAAATTAATTTTTTTTGAAAGATTATTTTTTCTGGCTTTTTTGCCTTTAATGGACAGGACAGAGTGAAGGGGGGGGGAGTGTGGGGGTGTGTGTGACACGCAGAGATGGTCGCAAGCAGGAGTCGAGCCTGCGACCGCTGCAGCAAGGCATCGCCTCTGTACATGGGGCGCCAGCACTAACCACTATGCTACTGACGCCCCAGCACATAAAGCAGAATTGACAATAAAGTTGACTTTGACCTGAATGTCTTGAAAAAAATGAATAATTAAATAAAATAAACAGTGTGGAGAACCTCACTCACAGTTGAATTCATCAAAGATCAACAAAAACTTTGTTTGCTCCAAAGCAACATGCTAACTAACGTTAGCTTCGGCAAACAAAGATGTTTGGATATTATTTGTAAGTTACTAATGTTTTAACTTAAAGTTAGGTAGTTGTTCACCATTTGTTGCTTTTGGCACTTTACACAAATGGAGAAGCGGAATAATTAGTTTTGTTAGCAGTGGGCTAAAACATCAGATAACGAAAGCTGTACAGAGTCATCACTAAACTTTTTTTTTTTTAACAGTTAAAATAAAACGATATATATCGACTCACCATGCTGTGGAGGAACATTGTTGTTGTACAGTATATGTTTGTCCTTCAAAGGCAGGGCCATGTCGTTGTTTTGCAAGTCACAAGTCAGTCTCAAATCTTTGCATTTGAGTCCCAAGTCTAGTGCTAAGTCCTAAACTTTAAGTTAAGAGTCCTAAACAAGTCATCATGTGGTCTTTACCAAATGTGATGCTATTTTAACATCATAGTAGTAATATATTAAATTTACAAAAAACATGAATCCTTTTTAAAATCTATATTTATGTTTTAAAACAAGTTACTTAGCTGTAACTTTCAAAGTTGTCATTTTCGACCTGTACATTTTGCACACTGGAGTTTTTGTTTTTTGTTTTTTTTTGTGCGCAAACGAAATTATCTTTGGTTTCTTTTTCTTTTTTTCAACTGGCATTTAGTAATATATACTTAGTTCTTCGTGGTTCTCTCCTGCAACTTGATTGGATGCTGTCAGATTGGTTCAAGCAAAGTGGATCTGGGGAATTAAGTGTGGATTTGCTGGGAATAAATATTAAAATGAAGGGAGATGAATTGATTCTTGGGACACTTGTTAAATAAAATGCCTTTTAATCTTCGGGTTCAGGGGGAAGTTATCATGGATTTTCAAGTCAGAAGGCTTAAGTTCAAGCGAAGTCACACGTCACTGGTGTTTAAGTCCAAGTTGAATCTAAAGTCATCAAATTTGTGACTTGAGTCTGACTCAAGTCATGTGACTCGAGTCCCTACCTCTGTTGTCCTTTACGTGAAGTGTCAAGACGTGTGGTGACACTTGCAGTGGGACCTGTGAGCTTTGCCTTCATTTATAATGTCCTCTTGATTCACAATACTCTGCTGACAAATTATATTGTGAACGTAGCTCTCAGATGCATATTGTATTCCTTTCTGTCTGCTTGTCTCTGATATTTCAGAACTATTATTTCTGTAATTGACTTCCTTTGGAAAATCTCTCTCTGACATCACTGAAAACACCGTATTGACATGCGGGGAGTGAAAGCTTGACAGGCTTGACAGCAGTAACCAGGGGGGCAGGGCTTAGCAAAGGGTCAGCTGCTCATTTCATCTGACGTGTCTGTGGTGACATTTTACCTTTACTGCCTCAGGTGTAGAACGGTTGTAGTTAGGCTTTAACACAGCCATAGAACACAGCAACATTCCTGTATAGCCTGAACACCTGTGTGACCTGTCAAACAGGTGGCGCCAGGTAAACACTTTGTCAGACATAATTCATGTGGGAAATGGTGCCAAGTAGTTTTAATCCCTTTTCTGACATGAAAAATTAAACACCAACTACAGAAGATAACAATCAGAGAGTCCATACTGTTTCTCGTGGAAAAGCAAAATAAGGACAAGGCAGGAAGTCAGACTCTCCTGTCCTCTCGTCTGCTCCCTCCATCTCTCTTATTGATTATATACTAACCTTTCTCTCCCTCTAGAGCTCCTCTTCTAAAAATACCTCCATGGTTTTCCATCAGTTTGTGTGTGCGTCTTTGTCTGGGTGTGTCTGACCTTGGGGGTTGTTTACTGTACTTGTTCCTGCCCTTGTGCATGTGATATGATCAATGCTATGCGAGAAAAAAGCTTTTTGGTCATCTTCTGACACATACAGTATCATCTGCCGTCTGTGTCTGTACTCTGTTTTGGCTTTTACAAAAGTCCATAAAGGGGATTTGAGAGGGTTTATTGGAGGAATTAAAGGTGGATGTAGAGCCTGATGTTGTGGCAACTGACAGTCTCTCTTTTTGGCCATATCAATGAACATGTTGCTTATTTAACCTTTGGTGTTGTGTGTGTGTTGCAGAGTTGTTGCGGAGTCGTTTTGAGGAGCAGGGTCTTCTGCAAGAAGGCAACCGTGGCTTTGAGCCCCACCTCACCATTATGAAGCTGTCCAGAGCATCAAAACTACGATCTCAGGTATACACACACGTCCGTGTCAACACACACACACACACACACACACACACACACAGACATTGTGGGTATGTACACTAAACAGAAATATGAATGCAACACTTTTGTTTTTACTTTCATTTTTATGCCTCTGTGCTGGTGATGGTGGCGGCCAGAGGCATTATCTTTTCAGGTCACATTCTTTCGAACGAGCTATCTCAAGAATGCCTTGAGGGATTTTTCCCAAATTTGGCACAACGTCCACTTGGACAGAACCATGGACTGATCAGAATTTGGTGGTCAAAAGTCAAAGGTCAAGGTCACTGTGACCTCACAAAAAAAATTTGACCAAAACTCCAAAATTTAAGCACTGATTATGACAAAATTCAACAGAAATGTCTAATAGAATGAAATTATGAAGTGATAAAATTGTATATCCAAAAGGTCAAAGGTCAACTTCACCATAATGTTCTGCAAAAACACTTTTCTGGTCATTATTCAACCTCATATCTCAGGGGCAGGAGAGGAGACATTTGGTCAGATACTAAGTTGGTGGCACTAATGTTGGGTGTGTGCCTTAAGAGTGTATAGATTAGGGATGCACCAATCTGATACCTGGATCAAATATCGACCCCGATATCATCAAAATAGATGGATCGGGTATCAGAAAATGCAATCTATACCTGAGGCGATCCTTTCCCTTTAAATCTATTGCGACGCGAGCTACGTCATACGTCGTGGAGCGAAGGAGAGAATCTGCTGTGTGGAGGTATTTCACACTATTTCAACAGCTGTTGCACAATTGTTTAGTATTGTTAAAAATAAATAGTTCATCGTTGCATTAATCAGTTTCATCTTGTTTCATTTTATCTTAGGAAAGAACTGTGTAGTCATCAATGCCTGATGCCTCTAGTCTTTTCTGTTCTACATGTAAAGGTATAAAGCTTTTTAGGTCAACCATGGTATCGGATCAGTATCGGGTATCGGCTGATACTCAAAGCCACAGCATCGGGATCGGGATCGGTATCGATACTGAAAAAGCTGTTTCGGTGCATCTCTAGTATAGATCTTCAGCGCTGCTAGGGGGGGAAAATGTGTGTGAAGCATCTCTGTTTTCACAGATATGGATGAAAACTGTAACTGCAACTTGACTGGTTCACGAAAGAAAACAACCGTGAAGCAGTAATTCTAGTTCATGAGTTGAAATAAAGGATCTTAGGGTTTTTCTATGCACACAAAAGGCTTAATTCTCTCTTTGTTCACAAATTTGTTGAAATTCGTGTTAGTCACCAACATCGACCTGACAGGTGTGACATTTCAAGATGCTGATTAAACAGCATCATTGATACACAGGTGCATTGGGATGGTCACAATAATAGGCCACTCTAAAATGTGCCGTTTGATCACACAACACAATAACACTGATAGTGCATGTTTTTAGAGAGTGTGCTGTTGTCATTCTAACTGCAGGAATGTCCACCAGAGCTCTTGCCCATGAACTAAAGGTTCATTTCTCTAACATAAGTCGTCTCCAATGTAGAGTCCAAGATTTTGGCACTATATCCAACCAGTCTAGGGAGCCTGGCCAGGAGCTCCACATCCAGCTATTCGCGTACATCTTGCTGGTGAAGAAGCGGGATGCTAAGGTCGGGACCTCTGGCAACTGGCATGGTTATGTATCGTCTACGATATGTGGGGACGGTTGGATGTACTGCCAAATTCTCAGAAAAGCCTGAGCTTGTTGTGGAGAGAAAGCAGCCTATAAGATATTTTATTTCAACTCATGAAAAATGGGAACAAAAACAAAAGTGTTACATTAATATTTTTGTTCAGTGTATATAGTGTATAGAGATGCTCAGTATGTTTGCATACTGTGGACAATATCAGGGTGGTTATCAGTTCAACAGACCTTTTACTGCCAATATTTGACTGACTGTAATGGTATTTTTATCTTTTCCAAGAGTCAAATTGGCAGTATAATTTAAGTATTAAGCTGTTTCTTTAGCACAGGCATCTCACAGAAGACGAACTTATAGTGTACGAAGACCTGACTGAAATTCTTTCATTGTGCAGATGTGAAAATAGTAGTTAAGTAATAAATAATGTTTAAAAAAACATAAAAACATAAAGTTGCACTGGCACGTCATGGTTTTGTTTACATTGGATAATGTCAACATAGATTTACATTGTATTACTCACTCTAATTATGCTTTCACACACAGTCCCAAGTTGCTTACTCTCTTGTAACAACTGACTTTGACAGAGCTGCCAAACAGCCACAGTGTGAGTCTTTATATTCCCCTCACCTTCCTCTCAGTGGCTGAAAAATATCTCGTCCAGTAGTTAGATGTCAAATTATTGCTCCAGCCAGAACGACCAGTGGGAATAACGTGCTTGCTGTGGTACTTTAAAAGAAAACTGAATCTATATAATTTTATGGTTGATGAGAAGAAATTACCCACGATTAAGAGCAGTGTAGGGAAGGAGAAAATGGTGAAGTGATCAAGGGAGTGTGTGAGGGTGAGGGTGGAGAGGACAGACAGATAAGCAGAGATGTGGTCAGGACGGGAGGGACAGAGGAAGGACAGCATCTATCTTTACTTCCTTTGACACCTGATGACATAGTATCTTGACTGGCGTCTACTGGGCGGCGTTCCTGTCTTCTTTCAGTCTGTGTGTGTCAAAAATGAACATCCTGAAGACAGAATGTCCTAAAAAGTGTGATAAATATGACATAAACAACATTTTTCCTTTGTGTCTCTCAGGGTATAAAACGTGTGGACCCAGACCTCTACTCCAACTACACAAACAAGTAGGTGCTTGTTTTTTGTTTTCTTTTTCTTTGAGGTCAGTGCTCTACAGTAAATGTGGGACATTATGTAATGTTTTGTGTCCATACTGTATACGTATAAATGATGTAAGCGTGACATTTTAGGCAAGATACAGTAACAGGAAAAAGGAATGTTGTTTTAAGGGAATACTTCACCCCCCAAATGACCACTAATATATGAACTACCTGCCACGTGTTGGTAAGAAAATGGATCCTTGTTTAACAACAGCTAATCTGTGTCAAAAATATTTGTCAACTAAAGCCTAGTTCACATTACACGATTTTCACCCCGCAAATTGCGTTGCGGAGACTATCATAATCTTTTGAGTGTTCATACCTGGCGACGTGTGTTTCTGTCATTGGGAGTCTCGCCAACTGCGTTACGACCTATGTGTGCACACCACAAGATTTCTCCACTGAGCCCTCGCCGGCAGAGCCCCAGATAACATGGTGACGTCACCAAACTATGTTTTTTAACTTGGAGACAACACACTGTAAAGGCATGGATTTGCTTCCCAGTGTTGAATCAGATCTGCCTCCAGAGCCCGGGTCCAAACACAACACGCTCCCTGTGATCCTGTAGACGCCGCCATTGTTGTTGTTGCTTGCTGGCTTGTCAGTGTTGCCAGATCTTGGGAGAGAAACAAGCAACCAGGGCTATGGAAACAAGCCAAAAGAAGCAATGGATGTATAGAGAGAAAGGCGACGTTTAGAGAACAAGCCTAAATAAGCAACTTTAGAAAATAGCCCAAAAAAACTGCAACCCGCAACTACCAATATTTGTAAGTGACTTTACAAAAAAACAAGCCCAAAGTTGCGGCTAACAAGCGGACCTGGCAACCCTGTGGCTTGTCCTCCTCACATTTCTTCTGTCCTCCTGTGTGCTGACGTGGGACGTATCCCGCCTCTCACTGGCTGATGCTCTTTGTCAGTTGTGTCAGACTTCTCCAGTTTTCTAGCATATCCAGTCCCAGTCGCAGACGAGGGGGCTTGTTCACACATGAGGACTCGTCGTGGCAGACTATCTGCCGACTCACCTCCGACCTAAGGTGGCTCTCAAGATCCTCTGCGAAGTCAAAATCGCAGTGAAAATTGTGTAATGTGAACTAGGCTTTACTCACACAACTCGTGCAGTACAATCCAAGTCTCATTTATCCAGTTATATGCTCAGTACTTCCCAAACAGACAACCCATTCCAACTGGAAACTGAACTAAAAGTGAAACGTACCTATGCGCTCTTAAAAGCCAGACTCCACTGACAAAACCAGTTTTACCTCACTAAACACGAGACATGCCGGTCTACTGCTGCCTTGCTCAGTTAGTTTGTTTGTGTTACTGTGTGAATTTGGTGTTTTGAAGGGTTAGTTCAGATTCAAAGTGAGTCCCAAATGAACACAAAGACACTTACGAATTGAGGCATTGGTAGACCAGCAGCTCCTGTGTTCAGTGAAGTAAAATTACTGTTTTTCTCAATGGAGTTTGGTGTTAAAAGCCCTATTCGGATGGATTAGATTAACGTGGAGATGTGGGGTAAAGTAATTATTACCAGAGATTTTAGTCCCATCTGAAAGCGCCATGTCTGTAACCATTACGGATAATGTCAGTAAAAATTACATCGACTTTTACCTTCTGTAAAACAGTCTGGAGAAAATACCTTGGGTAATATTAATGCAATCTTCTGTAAAAATGTATGTAAATATTTCGTCACGTCTTGTTTACAACCATTATTCTGCGTTTGCCTTTTTTTTTAATGATGGAGGCGTTTGAAGAAACATTCAGTGTTGTCGGCAGTCGTGATAGTGGATATTCTTCTAATGGTCGCATAGCTCTACGTGGGAGACCAATCAAAAAGGTCGAGAAGAAAGCACTTTTCAGAGCCACAAGACTTCTGGTTGTGTTAGGTAGGCCTAATATAAATCCATATTGCTAATCGTTGTGTACACACAATCCTGATCATGGGCAATATTTCATATTGGGCTAATCATTAATCATTATTACACATACAGGAAGCAAAGTTGCACGCACATGCCGACAGGGAGGGGACACCAGGGCGCAAACCGAGTTACCACTCCCATCTCTGGTAGAATTACGGAGATTTCTCGTCCCGTGTGAATTGGACATTTATATTACAGACATCCCGTGGTAAACTGACATTAGTCCACATCCCTATGTAAAACTAATCCTGTCCAAATAGTACTTAAGACAGCGATATAACTGCTTCAGTTCCCTTTTGGAAGTCGCTGTCGGATGGCAATGTAAAGGGTAAAAATACTCTTAATATAGTAAATACTAAATGTTTAGTGTGTAGAATTTAGTGGTATATAGTGGTAAGCCCCATGTCCCAGGTGTGTAGGAGAGCTATGGTGGCCAGCGCAAAAAAGTGAATGTCTGGCTTTAAAGAAAGCATAGATAGGTTTCACTTTTAGTTCAGTTTCCAGTTGGAAAGGACCGTCTGTTTGGGAACTACTGAGCACACAACTGAATAAATAGAACTTGAATTATACTGCACGAGTTGTGTGCGAGTTGGTAAATGGATGTTTTGACATAGTGTTGCTGTTGTTAAATGCTGTCGCCTATGATGTCAATACTCACTGCAGGCATGTGAGAAAAACAAAGTTCAAACCCCCCAGGTGCTTCTCTAATCAATATTCTGACTCACTGGTCTTTCAATATTGTTCATAACTGTATAATGTTCTTTGCACTTCAAATGCACATAAGTTTTATTTGAGCAGCACCATGTTACAGAATGTTTAACTTCCAGTATTGTCATTTCCAGGATGATAATGGTGACATTTGCCAAGTATATTGAGCCATAGAGCTCACTTGGTTGTCGCTTTCAGTTTGAGCTATCATTGCTGACAAGTGTCTGTAATGTCTGACATCAGCCTTTACTGCCTGCTGGAGGCATCAACACTCTCCTCTCTGTCTTCCTCACTGTCACTTTGTCTCACTGCAACACTCAGGTTTTTCGGAGACCAGGCAGTTGAGCGGGTGGATCTTTGTTCCATGTTGAAAAAGAAGCAGCAAGACGGATATTACCACACTGAGACTTCACTACACCTCGGTTAGTGCACACACGCTCCCACGCACAAACAGAGCTCATTGTGCTTGTTTGTTGTGAATGTGGCATCAGGTGCAATGTTTCGCCACCAGAGGGCGCTCTCTGCTCACATACAGGACATTGAGTTTCAATGGCTGTGGCAGTGGGGCTAAATTAGCATATTTTGGGGCAACATATTGCTGTAATTGTTGTTTATTTTATTTGTTGCCTTTGCCAGTGATGTTGGATGAGGGATAAGATATATAAAAGTTGTTTACATTTGCAAATAACTCCAGAGAGGTTGCTCATTATTTGTATTCCAGTTAACAAAGCTGGGAGTGCTTTAGTGGGGTTTATTTTACGTAACGTAACGGCATGAACCTTGTTGTGCTCATCAGAAGCTAAAAGAGAGACAAACCAGCTTAATCAAACACCATGGGGATGCTGAAGAGCTCATTTCCATTTAAGACACAGCTGCTCAGTTTAGACATCACCATCCTGCCAGTTCTTTCAGAAGTTGGCAGCGCTGTAGAGAAGCAGCTCTATAATGGCTGCTGAGTGAATGCACTGCTGCTGGGCCGGGAGATGATGCATGTACATGTTGTGATGTGCATTTCCTGTGGTGTGTGTGTGGAGAAAATGATTCAGTTTTTGTCACATTCTGATGTGGACGTACAGTCGATACTGTCACTGCCCCTTCTGAGCTCCAGATGGCACTTTTCACCACTGTGAGACTTGGGGTGAAGCCAGATGAAACCAGACAGGCAGTATCGATGTGCCCCTAATGTCTATCAAATGCTGGAGGCTTGTAACAGCACGGCAAAGAGCTAACAGAATATTTTATCTCTAAAAGAAAGAGGATTCACTCATGAATGTATCAGCTTTGTGTGTGTGTGTGTGTAGATGAAACACTCTGTCAGGATCATCTCATCCAGTTTCGTTAAATCAACAGACCTCGCAGGAATGTGAGATCCAACAAGTGCTGTTGACTGTTGCAAGCCAAGATCGATTGGCTGTGATAATGGCAAATGCAATAACTACTGTTTCCTAATGAAAAGTGTCTGGAGGAGATGCATAAATCATTGTTAGTGATATCATTTAGTCATCAAATTGCTTTGTTGATGATTCGATGAGGCATGCGGGGGAAAAGACCTAAATAGAATTTTCAGAATAAGAAAGATGCATTGTAGATTTCTGAGTCTGCACAGTAAAGCTAAGTCCACACATACGAGGGTATTAGTGAAAATATAGCTTTTTTTATGCCTTTTGGCCTTTGGTCCACACGCAAACTTTGTTTTAGGTCACTGAAAACTGACCTATTGTAAAACCCAGGCTGTCCAGGTGGAAGATTTTTAGAAACTCAATATTCAGTGTTGTCGTGAAGACAAGGGAAACAAATTTTTGGCTTGTAATGTTAGAGACCGAGTCGTTATCTCCTTTTGCAGGGTTTCCCACATGTTCATTTATTTGTGGCAGCCCACCTTGATTAAAACATCTAAACGCTTAAAAGTTTGCTTTCAGTCACAAACAGCTGCTCCTCTCAGCTATCAGTCTGATCAACTGATCAATTATCCACCCTGCAACTCAAAAACTCCACAAACTGCTGCTGAGGGGAAAAACTACGTTGTGTTCACGGACCCACAAAAACCTCCAAATTTAGAGACAAGACACGGACTGTTACACAAAGGACACAAATGAATATGGTTATCACGTTTCCCAAAATTCAAGATTGAACAAATTTAAAATAATAAACAATTTGTTCGAATGATTCCTCCAGTGGGGAGTCGTACAGTTGCACCATGCGTTGTGATGCTGTGGTGCAGCCTGGAATTTTATATCATGGCTCCATTTTCATCATGACATCCTGAAACCCCCTCTTCCGAAACATTATCAGTAGGCTGCATACAATATGCTTGTATATAAATCTTGCTATCTTGGCGGTGATTAGATTTGTACGAACTTCTGGCAAGGTGTGGCTCCAGGGCCACATGTGGTTCTTCAGTCTCTCTCCAGTGGCCCCCCGTGGTTTTGATACACGGAAATGACTTATGGTTATTTTTTTAACACTTTAATTTTCATCTATCAATGTTTTGGGCCTTAAGAAATTCCTATATTCTCCAATTGTAAAAATGTGAAGCCTATATACAGAATAAAAAACAGTGTTTTTACATGACAGCAACTAAAATGTGCGTAATCATCTACTTTCTGGCAAACCTCAGTAGCAGTGGCTAATCTTCAGTCTCCTTAGCTGGTTAGTTACGGATGCCAAATCCAGAAAAGTCTCGGAATAAAATAGAAAACATGTCATCTTGTACTGCCAGCTCTGCAAAGTTAAATAATCATAAATAGTGTCCTGCACAGTAGCCAACTTGTGGTACAACATATTAATGAATGCTCATTTAGACCATTAGTACGGGCTAATTTAGACTTAACTTTTTCTACATTATTTTCACTCAAAAATGGCTCTTTTGATAGTGAAGGTTGCCGACCCCTAACCTGGAAATCCAGAGTTCTCGCGCGAGCACAATTTGAATTTGCTCAGCGAGTCACTCAAACAATCAGTAATGATGCTCATCACCCATGCTGTTGGAGCCGAGCTGCACCAATCACATCGGTGTATCTGATATAGGCGGGCCAGAGGCGAGCTAAACAGATGACGACAGCGCTGCGACGACGAAGTCTGGAATCAGTCAGTAAACATTGCAAGATGGCTACGGATGAACACCAGTTGTTTGAAACGGCTTTGGCCGCTACAATGAACGAGTTAGACTTGGCTTTTTCTCTAAAAGAGGAACAGAAGACGGCGCTCGAATCTTTCCTTTGCAAGAAGGACGTTTTTGCTGTTTTGCCGACCGGATACGGCAAGAGTCTAATCTACCAGTTAGCTCCGCTGGTAGCTAAGCTCTGGATATGTCACCCCGTGTATTGTTCTGATTGGTCGTAGTGTTATCCAGTTGCGTGCAGTGATATTTACAAATGCATGCTTGGTGCCGCCCCTCAAGTTGGGCCATTTGCATTACTCATAGCCAGACCCTTAATCTTTCTAGATTTGGGTCTGGATTTCCAGGCTAGCCGACCACTGATCCAGTGTCTTGATTGTCCACTCAAGATGGGTTAGAGCGCCCTCTCCTGGATCAAAAGGCAAACTACGTCACACAATCTGCTGACTTACAAACAGTTAAATAGATTTTGAATTTGAACAGGTCATTACAGTTTGAAGTTTTGAATATAGAGAGTGACAGTCGTACAAATGCGGCAACTTTTCGGGAGTGGCGGACGTTGCCAAAATAACGCTAACCTTGCTAACAGGACTTTTTACATGTTTGCATGTAAATGCACAGTTATTTTTCCACTGTATTGAGCAACAGAGACACAAGGAGGTCACTGCTCCAGGTAGCCTTCTGGTAGTAGCTTTTTTCAGGCTTCAAGTGAGGCAACATCTTCATCTTTGTGTTATATCGCCAGCCGTCGGTTTGACATGCTCTTGACAGCGCTTCACTTGAGGTTTTGCGTTTACATATGGATGGCAATTTTTCATGATGCTTGTGTGGATGGGATTTTGTTTTAGTTAAGAAACCCTGTTTTTAAAAATACCCATGTACGTATGGACTTGGCTTAAATATCCAAAAATATTAAAACCTAATGAGTCTCCGCTCCCAGTAAAATACCATGTACTGCTAGAGGAAGCAGACCAGTAGTATAACATGGTGCATTTAGATTGGAGGCCTAAAGGTGCCTTTTTTGTTATGAAGGAGCATTTTTGACCATATCACCAATGTCGAATTGAGTGTAGTGACATGAAATCTCTGATTGTATCTGCATCAAAGAGAGCACAACTTTAGAATTCCTGCTTTGATCTACAAGCTAGCGTGGCCTGTGGTTACATTCAGACCAGTCTTCTGATGATCACAACCCTGTGAGCTGACAGACTGACCAAAACGAAAAATATTTCCATGCCGCCTTTAGCAAAAGAAACCTTCATGTTATGCCTTATAGTGCTTGAACAGGGCTGTGCAGGATGATCAGAATGTGCCATTTTGATTTCTTTTTTTCTTTTTTTTTTTTTTTGGAAAACTGGTTCATGTGCATCTGTCTTTCTGGATCACCAGTAACCACATTTGCATGAATAAATTATCACACTGTTACCATGGGTTACTGTACCATGGAGTTAATGGGATCAGTGTGTGTACCTCCAAGTGCACATGAGCTTTTTGACAGGAACTCCCTAAATCCCACTGTCAAGTAGCTACACTCATCATTGTGTGTGTGTGTGTGTGTGTGTGTGTGTGTGCGTGCATGCATGTGTGTGTGACAGAGGCTGTCAGCATGAGTGGATCTAGGCTGTCACAATGTTTTCTGGATCACTGGGCTGTCTGTGAGAAACAAAGCGACAGTGTGAGTGGGAGTGAGCGACAGAGCGACAGGGCGATGTTTACCTCACACTTCTCATCATCAGAAAGCTTGTGTTTTTGTCGAGTGTTTTTCACAACATTATATACATATTTATAAATGCACGAAAGGTTAAAGTAAGCACCGAATCCCTGCCTCTCATAATATGGTGCATGGTGCAGCACTGTGTTGCAGTGTGGAGGGTTTCAGTTACAATGCTTGCTGTCTGTGAGTGTCAGTGAGAATTAAGTGTCTGTCTCCGCAAAGCTTAAAAGTTATGCAAGTTTTTTAAACCAAGACAGCGTGAATTTTAAAAGTAGAAATAACATAATCCTCCTCTGTGCAGAACTTGTGCCATAACAACGTTTTGGTCTGGTATGACATTTATGATAGCAAACGTTTGCACCCTCACATAGATGTTGTTGTGTAACTGACACAACTGCTGAGTCACTACTAACTTTGACTCCACTTGTGCTTCTGTTACACTGCTTTAACATGTCCCAGATTTTAATGGTGTAAAACAAAGTAAAAGAAAATGAACTGTTTGCCACCAGGAGACATGACTGGTGTTTCCTGCATGTGTTCCCACACCACTCGCTCTCAGTTAATGGTGATGCTTTAAGGCAAATGACTCA